CAATCCAGAGGTTGCAGGTCTTGGGCAACACACCTCTGGCTCAGCCACTCCAGTCCAGAAGAGTAAAGTAACCATTTGTATTTGGGGTAGAACTTACCAATTATTTTCACACAGTCCAGTTGGGACATTAAGGGTTTTACTGTTCACTTCCACTGTTTTGTTAAAGGTTATTAGTTTGCGTCGGGTTTCTCCCCTGCTTTTCCCTTAATATTGTATAAAATCCCTAATACAGTGTTTTCTTGTTTTCACCTTTAATGGGTGTCCAGTCTGTTTTCCTTTATTTCAATGCTGCCAGCTGTATTAGTTACAGTTTGATAAATTGTAAGCAACTGAAAACAATGTCTTTTAAGGTGAAGTGTTGGCTAGTCTAAATGGGCAGTGCACCCTGCGCAAGCCTGGTCTTAAAAACCTCCAGGAATGGAGATTCTACCAGCTCCTTAGGTAACTTTTTCCAGTACTTCACCACCCTCCTACTGTTTTTCTTAATAGTCAACCTAGATCTTTCCCACTGCAATGCAAAACCACTGTGCCTTGGTCTGTCATCTGACACCACAGATAATAGCCTGGTTCCATCCTCTGTGCCCCATCTCCCTCCCCACCATCCCCACACACAAACACCTTGATGTAGCCCAGCTGTTTAGCAGACAATACTTGTAGGACAGTACTCTGAAGAGAAGTGTTAAGGTTTTGAGTTCAAGCCTGACCTAAACCAGTGATTCACTCCAACCTTACACTTACAATTAGCTTATAAACCTGGAGTCCCAGCCTAGAGGACATTGAGGAAGGGAACCCTGAATGTGGCCTTGTCCATAAAAAAAGAGACAGGAGGAGATGGTGGATGCAACAAGATGCCTGTAAGGGTGGGGGATGGATCAGTGGTGGCACCTTCGTAAAGAATGATTCAAGTGGGGATGTGGGAGGTAAAAAGGGTTAAAAATAGTAATCATGTAACTGGTTACAATTTTATCAGTGATAGTATTTTTTAACTTGCTGACAGGCAAGACCGGTAGTGGACATGGGCTCTCCTGGGGGCAGGGCTCTCTCAGGGGTCTGCCGGGGGTGGCCACAAGGATTGCCGGCAGGTGGGAGGACCTCCAGCAGCTGCAGACTGATGTTAGCTGCCAGGGGCAAGCGGGCACGGCCGAGGGCAGTGGGGAGTTTAAGTATTAGAGCATCAGTTAACCAGTTTAAACTCTTGCTACAACCCGGTCAAATCCTAGTGGTGCCTGGCATGGCTCTGTGATGCCTGGAGCAGTGCTGAGGGTGGACTCAAGGTACCCGAAGCCACACAGAGCATCCAGGCCAGCGACCTCATCTATTGCTGGCTGCAGCATCTGAGTTTAACCCCTCAGGCAGCAGCCCAGGAGTTCAGCATCTCTGGGGGAAACCTCCTCTTCTGTTGGGTCTGGGGCCTGTAGCAAACATCTTTCCCTCCTACGGGCCACACTTCATCACTGTTCAGAGATGCTGAGGGGTGGGGGGGAATGAAGCCTAGTGGTTAGTGTAGCCTTGGACTGAGTCTGGAGAGTGCAGGGTTCGGGGCTATACTCCATCGCTGACATGCTTGGTGATCATGAGGGACTTGCTGCCTCATTTTCCTTTCCCACCATTTGCCTAACTAGACTGTGACCTGCTCAGACTAGGGATTGTCCATTCCTTGGTGTTGTGCAGGGCCCTGATTCCATTGTGGGTCTATAAGGCAAATGACAGATTACTACTGTTTCTCAGCCAATCAGTAACTGCTTGTAACCTCCTCTTCTCCAGTCCTAAGGCAGCTCACTCCCATAGACTGGCCTGCAGCTCTTGTGATCCAAACCAGTGTTTCTCAACCCTTTTTCTAAAATAAAGTCCCCCTTTTTCCAAAC